TTTTTATAATTGATGAATTGATATTTAAAACATGAAATAAAACAATGAAATAATCATCAACTGCAATTGCATTAAATTGGGATATAATGGATGACCTCAGATCATAAATTATTCACGAGTTATTTTCCGGCAATAACTAGAAAAACATTAAAAGACGTTTTCCCCCATGAAAAATCATCTCAACCCGTAAAAAAACTTATGGAATCATAAAAATATAGAATTTACATCTTGCGGGGGCCCCATTTATTCCAAGTCGTATGAGCAACCGAGAGAACAATAAACCAGAGGCATTTTCGCATTATAAAATTCTTCATTTTATCGTTTTAAACTTTAATACGCGACGATATCAACTCGTTGCTAGTGATATAACAAGTCCCTGAATGTTCAGTTGGTGGGTGCAAAATTTCGAGGCTACGAGAGAGGGTAAACGTCGATTTCAAGGGTTTGGAAGGCACTCGTGACTCGATGACTCTTCCACCGATATCTATCTTCCATCCCTACAACACGCCATCACTCCACAATGTTTATCCATTATTTTTTTTTGTTAAAGGGCACTCTATTTTTCCCAGGGCGTAAAACGTCAAAATTACCATGAAAATAACGTAAAAAAAAGTAAAAATTGCTCGAGAGAGTCATGAAATTTAATGGACCAGTAATTTTCTGGGGAATGACGCAAAATCGGTTTTAATGGCTATTCATACGCAATTATTGATGTATCATTTTCCAGAAATGAATGAAATTTGGGAGAATCGCGATTTGTGAATTTTTTCTTGGTGATATTTTAGTGGATATCAATCCCCGAGTGAAAAATATATATTTCTCGTGAGTGTATGGATTACGCCGTCTGGCAGCTTCCGACAGGGTCTTTTTCCCCCCTCGGTATTATCGTTGGAAGGGCTCTGGGTCGATCGATAACGTCCGATTTTCGGCTTCGGACCCTTTTCCCAACCCCCAAATGGTGTATGCACACACAAAGCCATCGGAGAACATCTCCAATGCCTTGAAACCCCACCACCACGTGTCGACCCCATACACCACTCACAAAACCATCGAGGGGTGCGTTTGTGACGTCATACCGACGTAGGTAAAAGCGCCTGCGTAAATCCTCTGTCTTCGGTGCCTTTCTCTCTGCAAACACGCGTTGATCGTTATCCCAGGGGCCCCTCTATTCCCTCTATTCCCTCTATTCCCCCTATTCCCTCTATCCCCTCTAGCCCCTTCATCTATTTTTTTTATACCTTTTTCACCATTAAATGTCCCAGTGTTCGGATGAGGTAATTGAATCCCCGTCTGCGGAGACGCTAATTTAGTTTTATTCTGTTCTATTTTTTTATTCATTTTTTTTCCCAATTTCTAGGGGGTGGTGGGGGGGTGGATATTGGCATTGAGGGATTTCTCTGGTCATCCATTTAATTCGTCACCGGCTTTAGGATCCCAGGAAATAGATTGAGAGATATTACCCGACGGTTTTGGTTGAATGGGTGAACTTGAGGTGAAAAATTCCTTATCACGGGATTCTCTGGATGACACTCCGAGGGTGGTACCGTGGATCATAATAAACCCGGTGAGTCACGATCAAGGGATTCTATGGTTTTTATCAACTGTTTTGGGGTATGTGAGTCATGTTAGCCCTTTGTCCCGGGGATGAATTTCGGAATTTAGGGGATGATGTGAATTTAAATTTCTCGGTAATTATCGATTTGTCTTGGGAAGTATCGATTTCAGGGGGAAGTGGTAAGAAACTTTTTTGGGGGTGAGGAAATTTCCGAAAGAAAGGATCTTTTGATATTTTTTTCTCAGATCAATAATTTTCGAGATTTAGCCAAATGAAGAAAGCGCGGAGTTTTTCATTTCTCAAGGAATCTAATTTCTGTTTTTATTGATTAACCGTTTATCTCGAAAAATATCGATTTAAGAGGAAAATGGTGAAGAACTTTTTTCGAGCTGTTTGAATTTCCAAGAAAAAAGCTCTTCTGAAGTTTTTCCCTAAAGTCAATAGTTTCTTCAGATCAAATCGATTTAGTATTTCACGAGGAAAAAATCAATGAATACCCATAGTAAAAGGAAATTTTTTTTGTATATTCCCCGAAAAGGTTTTGTTTGCGATATAAATTGAATGATTCCATGCATTCGAATCTAGTTTTTCCAAAAATATATATTTTCACATGATTCATCCCCGGAGAAAGAAGAGAAAACAAACATTTTCATCCCACCGTTCACTTTGAACCCCTCGGCATAACTAGACCAACATATCCTTTGTCCGTTTATTTTGCCAATGGCTCAAGTAAGCATTGAGTGAAGGAATCGACGATATCTTTCATGATCAAAGAACTAACGCACGTAAGGGATGAATCGAGATGAGAATTTATACATGAAAATCGCTTTTCCGCGGTGCGATATGCCTTGTTGCTTCGAAATTTTGGTAATTAGTACCGGCTGAGATCGTTAAATCCGTTCTACACACCCTCATCCGCGATTTTACCTCGTACCTCACACCCTCATGGTTATCCCTCATTGCCATCCCCATTTTGCTACCCCTCCTCTTTGAAAACTCAACGGTAGCTTTTCGGATCACCCTAAAATTCACTCGTTAGTAGACTGTTGGCTCAAGTACCTACACCTACATCTGCCAAGCTGCCGGATAATTCTAAACCCCCATCAAAGCCATTGGATTTTGGATTTAACAAGTGGAATAAATGTGGAAATCTACACGCGCATCCTTCCATCTTTAGGAAATTACCCATTAAATGTTTCAATTATCAAAATAAATTCAGAATTTAAAAATTAATTCTATTAATTATACTCTATCAAAAAATGATTATCTACCTCTGATTGTTTTAGTTGTTCTCAATAGTTTTATTCATTATTTAAACAATTAAATAATTGAATAATTAGATGAGATTGGATTTTGTCAACTGTTTCAGTCGTTCGCGTGTAGAAATTCCCATTTTATGTGTTTTATATACCAGAAATAATTGATATTTTTTTAATGTCTTTTTCGGTGAAGGGAATTATCGATGTCGACTATTATTTTTCTGATGGAATACGCGTAATTTTGTTGTTTTTATTTGAAAAATCGAATGGAGTTTTTAGTCAATTTGAATATTTAATTGAACGGAGGGAATAAAAATAGAGCGAAATGATTGCGTTCATCGAAAAAGCTGGGAGAGGAGTGCAGTATCACATTCGGTACGTGATAAAGGAAACGGAGAAGTATGCGTTGCCGTTAAATTTGCATGTCGTATGCATTATGCAAAGCAATACACACAGACGCTTGAGATATACATCGGGGAATGTACTCGCAAGACTAGCCGATTGACTCTTTTTTATTTTTTTTTGTAATAACAAATTCTACTGAAGGGACAGCTTTCAGGGGATCGACCAGTTGGAGAAAATATCGCATCGTTTTCGCGGGGTTGATGTGAAGCTATCAAAGAGCAAGAGGAATTTCATGCGAAATTATATTACGGAAAAGACGAGATGTTTTGCTCTGGGAGTTGCTGAGAGATGAGAGACTTTTCATCTCATTAAATTCAAATTATACGACTTTAACGTCAAGATTTTATTTGTACTGTTAGTGAGGTCTAGTGATCGCTCTGAATTTCATTCGATGATAAAATTACCCCTCAAAATACTCCGAAAAATATTATAATGCAAATAGAGAACTCCGCGAGAATATTAGCCCGGAACATATTACGAGTCGAGATATTACGGTATTCAGGGTAATTGACCATTATATACCAAATATGAGAATTTGTTGTTTTTTTTTTCTTGATCTCGCAATGATTCGAATTAATGTATAAATTTTGTTGAAATATTTATAATATTTGATATAATATTTAATCTATTGACAATTAAATTGAGTCGGTAATTATAATTTAAAATGGAATGAAATTCATGTGTGAAAAATCAGATGATTAGTTAATGTTTATAATAAAAAAATAAATGAATTGACGCTTGTCCGTTATTTATTGGGTGTTCTCTCTAGAAATGCCTCTGGTAAGTGGTAAAATCGCGTGACGGGTCAGACAAATAAACGGTAATACTTCAGACAGTCAGAAAGACCCCGGAAAAGCCCAAGCCCCAACTAAACGAACTAATCCCTCTCTAGAAATAGACAAGTCCCGGGGAAAATAATTTTCACTGTTAAAAATAGAGTGGTGAGAGCATTTTAGTTCAATTTCATCTGTCAATTTGCTTTGACAACTGACTCTCGTGAAAGTTATCCACTGGGTTAAGGGGAAAGGTTGTCTATCGCTGTTAGTCAACACTTCAAACGTCAAACACCTTTTCACTCAACCCTGTGGCTTTGATAATCTCTTCGTACCTCATGCTCTTGATATTTTTCTTATTCTCGAGAGGCGGTGTCGTGCACATGGGAATGAGTATATATTTATTTTTCATTTTCCCTCTCACTTTCTATTTTTAGATTAAGATACCCATTTTCTAGGGCATATTTTTAAGCGTAAATTCGCGTAATTCGAATTATTTCAGACGGTTTTAAAATTGAGAGAATTGTTTTTGATATTTCAAATCTAGGGGCTAGTCATTTACGAAATCATGGACCGTTTCGATTCAGTAATTTCAGAAATCGCAAAGGAATCAATTGTAATTCCATGCAATCATCTGATGAAATTCATGGAATGAAATTATATAGAATCTTTCAAATGAATCATTCAGATGATTTAATTATCTCTCTGAATCTCTGATTCAAATGAATAAAATGAGAATGCCTGAATTCCTGTAGATTCCACCGACTTTTCCCTTCGAATTACTCTAAAGCTCTTGTATCGTAAAATTTTTCATGATTGTAATGCTGCATTGAATGACACATTCAACAATGATTAGAGAAATTGCCATGAGTCAAGGCTGAACGAAGGAACTTCGTGCAATTTGAAGGATGGAAAAGTCAGTTGAAGTACAATTATAATTAGCAGCACTCGTGGAGTCAAGTGCTCGTGGTGGCATGCACCTGGTTTTATTGTAACTCGGGTACATACCTTGCGACCTTGCACGGGTCACCGAAGATTGTAGATCCATGTACATCCAGCGAAAATTACTGGAGAAATTAAATAACTCCAGCATCCAGACCTGCAATTGTCCACGCTCGGCTGCCAATTGAAGCTCGTGCCTGATTTTCCGTGTCTCATGTTCCTCCATTCGATTAATCAGAATTAAATGAAGTACAATTTCACTTAACTCGTGCTGTCAACGTGGAGCGCTCACATATCTGAAATTGAAAATAATTTCAGACACTCGTGAATTATGACTTGGCAGAGTGATAAATGAGAGCTTTATTGTTTAGACAATTGGACAAATGTAATTAATTATTTATTCAGTCTTGTGGATATTTTATCTCGTATCATCTTCTGATATTGGAGAGCCTCAGAGAGGGGAAGATGTGTCGTGCAAAAGGGGTCTGTGTCGATCTCGTGGGGATACGAGAATCACCTGGGGTATTTCTACGTGGAACAACTAGGGTTTGGGTTTAGTATCCACTTCCCTGAGGACAGACATCGATCCCTACGCATCACGACGATTATCAGGTTTACGATTGAGGAAAGGAACCCCGCGAATTAAGAATGTAATTCTTCTCGAGGGAGAGCAATGAACGCTAAATTGCCGGGATCAGAGGAATGAACGATGGGATTTCAACGAGTCAAGTTTCGTTTTGAAAGCCAGATAAACACCGATGAACCCAGAAAATATCGTTCGATTTTACTTTACCGATCTCGAGTTATCGCGCATCAAAAACTTGGTTTTATTTCGACCTTTCATGACGCAGCATTTGGTTATGAGGGAAATTATTATTTTTTAATTAAAAAAATATGGAAGAGTAATTGAGACGTGAGTAGCAAATTGCAGCCCTAATTGGGGTGCTAATAAGAATAGGTTAGAGGTCGAGAGAGAGAATTCGGTGAGAATGGGGAAAAGGAAGACATAATTGAATGTTGAATTTTTTTACCTCTTCAACTTCAACACACAACGCTGGTCTTTTAATTTTGTCACGACGGAAACTCGTCTGCACTAGGTATGTTAGCTCATGTCCGAGGAGACCTCTTTGAGACGTCTTTCTGACGTTTGCGTCCTCCTGGGAGGAATAGGTGCGTTTGTGTTTTCTTATCTCGTTATGGGCACGTTGAGACCACTCGGTTGGTTAAACTTAGAGAGAATTGTCTTAGAAAGGTTCCAAGAGTTATTCCAAACGAAAATCTCTTATGAAATATTCACTGAGAAAAAAATCTAGCGGAAAAAATCCCCCAAAAATCACAACGAAAATGAATTAATGATGTTTTAGGTTGGACAACTCACTAACGACTGGCATTTCGCAGACGACTGAATCAATTCGTCAACACAAATATTAAATCTATCTATCTGTCTCTTTCTTGTCGGATACTTTCGAATAATAAATCTCGAGTAATCCCCAGTTCAATGGTTGAACCACAGATAATACTGTAAATAAAACAAACGGGTCGACTGAGTTAGAAGTCGAGGAAAATGACTCACGAGAGCTAGACTACGTAGTTCGTTACGCACATGGAATGACGACAAAATAAACAAGTCATAACAGCTACTGTAATGACGAAAATAAATCGTTACAAAAACGTATTGTTTCCGGGTGATTATATAACTCGAAATTGAGATACAGCGAAGTGATTTTGATTTTTGGGAGAATTTCCGAAGGATTTTTTTTGGAGGATTTTGTCTAGGGAATTTTTTTTCGGGGGATTTCGCCCAGGATATTTTTCCCGGAAATTGAAAAATCAACTCGACTCAGAAAATCGATGGCAATTAAGTCGGAATATTAAGTTGACTTAAAAAATGGACTTAAATCAAGTTGTTGAAACATCTTGAGTTTAAAAATCGACTTGAATCAAGTGAAAACAAACCGTAATATCAACAGAACTTGAAAAACCGATTGAAGTCAAGTCGTGAAATGAATTTGACTTGAAAAATCGACTCAAATGAAGTCCTAAAATTAATGTGACTTAAAAAATCGATTCAAATCAAGTTGAAAGAGCAACTTGATTCCGGACGATTTTAATAAAGTGTCCTTCAAGTACACCCAACAAATAAAACTCAAAATGAGGTCTGAAAAAACTTGATAAGTATCCGAGAGGCTCACACGACACATTGAAAGTATCCAACAGCCACAGGGAGGAGTTATCGAATTATCGACCAACCGCTGAGAATTCCATTTGGTACTGAGTAACTAAGGACATCCCATCGTGTAACCCAGTCTTCAAACGAAATCCATAAAATTTATGACTCCTGCTCTCCGTTATTTTCAACAGAGAAAACGGCGGCTGAGTGGAAAATGAGGAAATAAATAAATTCGAGACAATCAAGAAGAGGTAGTTGGGGATAAAAACTTAGTCGTTCAATTCTCAGGGCTTGTTTATTTTTTTTTTCTACTCTCTCTCTCGTTCCCTCACTTATTTGTTTCTTCATGGGTTTTCTTTTTTTTTTTTTCACTCACTTCGGTGAAGATGCGTCTCTCTTTGCACCGTAAAACGTACTTCACCTGGCCGCAAATAAATCCATTTAATCCGCTTTGGAGAGAGAAAATTTCTCAGCGGGAAACAGCCTTATACATCGTCATTCCTTTTTTATATCCCTGTCTAGTTTCTAACAAGCAGATTTTACAGGGGAAAAATGGTATGTAAGAATTCAAATGGAAGTTGGAGATGAAACACGCGAGGAAGGGTGAAGATTTTTTCTTCATTCAATAGCAATTATAATTTTGGAACTGATTATCAAAATTAAATATTGAATTTCATAGAATTATAATTAATTTTTCGACAACTCTTTTTTGTCATTTTTATTATACATAGATCGGCAAATTAATTAAAGCAATTTAATTCATTAAATTATCCATTTGATTATGGAGTAAATCATATGGTAATTCATAATGACAAATTACCATTAATTAAATTATTGCTAAATCAATTGGATTTTTTCATTAGATAGAAATAGGAAATTCTCTGGACATTTTCTCCTTGAATAATATTTATTTATAATCTCAAAACTAAAAGAGACTTCATTATTTTTAATGCCATGTGCATAATTACCAAAACCAGAGAACTTCCAATTCCCACCTGATCCTGCGTACCCATTTCCCCACAATCAGCTCTTGAAACATTCAGCTCCAACTTCTCACATGAAAATTACCATTTCAACTATCTGTGGGTCCATCAAGACCTTCTGCACTCGGAAAATATTCTCCACAACCTAGTGAATTTTCTGAGCAAATACATTCCACGAGGTGAGCGTCGAAAAACCGTGAATTTGAAAAAAGAAAAAAAAAAGAGGGAAAAATCGAGTGGAGGTAATTTAATCATTAAAAAAAGAAAAATACCCTCTCGTTTTGTTAACGCCGAGGAGTTAATGCGAGTGAAAGGATGTCATTACTTCGGATGGGAAGTGTTGCGAGTGCTAAAGCAATAAAATGGGTAAAAGTCTCGAATAAAGAACTTCTCACATCAAGCATTTTCCATTTAAAATGTCGGTATATTAAGACTCCGCTGTGATTTTCATCTGAAATTTTCTCAATTTCTCGATGAGTGGATCCTCAACCCCTCACCCCTATCTACCGGAATATTACGCAATATGAAGTTGTTAAAGTCAAAATGAAATGACGTAATAATTCAAATTTCAACATTCGCGCTGATGTCGGATTTATCTCGGGTGGGACTGGCTTAAAAATTTAATCTCCCGGAAGGAGAATCCTGAGATCTTCTATTTTTTATACACAAGAAGTTTATCCAAGTGGAAAGATGTCGTTACGATGGACACGGAGTGTCTCGTGCGAGGGGCTATTCGCTGGTGAAATCGCGGTGTCAAGTCTCGATTAAATTATTTTAGAAATCCCATGAAATCATGTGAAATCATGTGAAATAATGTGAAATCATGTGAAATCTTTGAATGCCTGAAATCCTTTAAATCCCCTGAAATCACCTGAACTGGTGAAATCCTGAAATTCTTCCAATTGCAATCAATGATTTCAATAATTTCATAATCTCACTGAAATCACGTGAAATCGCGGTGTCACTCAATTTCGGAGTGAACACCACCTCGATCTCATGTCTGGAGTAATAGAATTTCATTTATAAAGTTGAAAGTTGGTGGGAAATACACATTGGTCGGATGAATGGGGTTCGAGGGTACTTTGAGCTGTCGTGTGTGCACCTCCTCAGTGGAGATCTCAAGTCGACAATAGAAAACTTCAAAAGCATCAGACCCCCAAGAAAACGAGAGAGACTCGACGCTCCAGGCGTTTCTAACCCTTTTCACCCCCTACTTTTTTTTTATGAGTTAAAAAGGGAGAAGAATGTACCTTCAATGCTCAGACTTCCGGTGCAGTTGTACTTGCCAGAAGTTTTGTGTACGTAATTCTGTACAGGAGACGCGTCAACCGTTCAATGACTTCTGGATGTCTTCCAAGTTGACTGCACTCGGCTATTCTGCAAATATAAATAATATATTTTTTAATATTTTCACTGGCTCCATTTGTTCTTATATCAATTGTAATTGTTAATTCTAATGCTAAAAAAAATGGAAATTGAAAATGAATATTTTCAATTTTCATCTCAGTTTTTCTAGTGGGAATTTCAAAAATAAATTCCTCACAATATTTTCGGTTTTTCGTGTATTCTTGTTTCATTACTTATAATTATAATTCACATCGACATAATTAATATATATTGGACATTATATTAATTATCGTTTAAATACATTCAATTCAATATAATTGAGTTATTTTGAGATAATTGGAAAAAGGTCCCCCTTTCTTTCGATTAAAATATATTGGACTTTTCGAAAAAAAAACTGCTGTTGGAATTAAAGAGAAACGAAGTTATGAAAATTTAAATCTGGTGATGAGAGGAGTCACCAGAGTTGGGAGAAGTGGGTGGAAAGGGGTGGAAAGGGGTGGAGAGGGGCGGAAGGGGTTGGTAGGGGTGGAAAGGGGTGGGTAGGGGATAGAGAAAAGTTGCTTACCCCTTTTCTTCTGTTCCCATGACTTGGCAACTGTCTTACCACTTGGCTCACTAACTACTGCCGACCCGGAATTTATTTATCTCATTTCTATATTTTTTTTTCTTATTCGTCTGCACTCCCCTTTTACGTTTTATGGCACAGAATCAAATTTTCTGGAGCTGTGGCTCATTCGTTTTGATTTTTTTTTCTGAATTCCGTAATGGCGGAGGATAAATCGGAGTTCTTTATTATCTGATAATTCCGTGAATATTCAAAAATGCAAATTTAGCGGATTCGATACATAAAATTGCGGTTAAATCGGAGAAAAATTGTTTCATTGGAAATTTACCGCCCCCAGTTTTTGCTGATATGGATTTATCAATATTTTTTGCCGATTTTTATGGATTATTTTCATTACCGGCTTTTAGCACTGCCGCAGTACTTAAATTAATTCACTTTTACGAGTTATTTTTCATCAATTTTTGTTCGTTCGGCTGTAAATGGCCAGTGGAAAATTCTACGCGCCACCTGTGCGTACATGCGGATGGAGAAAATGATGATTGGTGTGCGGTTGTAGTCGATATATATCGATATATTTCACGTATCATAGGAAAATCTGGTGAAATATCTCCGCGGAAAATTAAGAAAAATGGTGAAAATCTATTTTCAATGGGAAAACCAAATAATACCGATTTAGCAGTTACGTTGAACATCGATTTATCTCGCGAAATATTCATATTATAAAAAAACATGAAAAGATATTATTTATCGATAATTGAATTACCCACAAAAAAGTTCTTTGCTATTTCCCCTGGAAATCGTTAGATCCCGAGACAAATCGCTAATAACGAAAATATTTGTGTCCGATTTCTCTCGCTTTATTTTTTCGTCACCGATTTTATGCTTGGAGATTGGATTTTTAAATGGACGTGGAAAAATTGGTTGTAAATATGAGCCCTGAAAGTGGCAGTAGCCAAAAAAAAAGGGGTGAAATTTTACAGTTCAAAATACCTGGAGGGCAAAAAAAAAATCTAGTAAAAAAGTATTGGACACGTAAAATAAAATGTTGTCTACCCACATCTGAAATACCATTGGATTTAAGAGTTCTGCGAGTGTAACATACTGACTTTCCCCAGCAAATATCGCGTACATGTCGGACAGAAGTGTACAAAGTCCTGGGGATAAGTTCACGACAAAATGAAAGCAACAAAACTCGGCTTTCTTACCACCCCGAGGTTACCCCCGCTATTGTCCGAACTTTGCACTCAATGGCTTCGTGTACTTTATAATTAATTCCATAATGAAGAACGTGGATAGAAAAACTCCGAAATTACTCGACAGGATGAAAATATACCTCTTAATTCATAATTAAATTCGGGGTTTTATTTAATTCGTAAATGTTGAAAGGAAAGAGTTTCCAGTTGTTGGGTTATCACAAAGGTGTGAAGAGCAAAAAAAAAAACCTAAACAATGGATTCTTAC